TCGCTGGATTGTGTTACAACAGCAGGAGTCTGCTGACCCGATGGCAGCGCTTCTTGACCCTGTGCACTAGCGCCTTCCAGAGGGAGGTTCCGTGGCGCGAATAGGTGCTGGGTGGATATAATCATGGCCTGTGTCTGAAAGGGCATCAATTCGGGTCGGCAAGTGAGTCAAGTTGCAGGACCGCGAACATATTTTTCCATCAGTGCATCGCGCGGGTTGTGAATATCTATGATATCCTCTGATACGCCTGGGTCCTGCGATGATCGTCTACCCTGCTTGAGTCCATCGAAGTCAATGACACGCGGTTCGAAAAGGCACTATGCAAAGATGATGTCAGCTTGTGGGGGACTTCAGAGAGAGCTGGAATGACCATAGGTGCGAGGATAATTTCGTCATATGCGCGTAAGCCATACTTCTCAGCAGGCTGCTTAGGGCGCCGCACAACAAAGTCGTATAAGTTGAGTGCAACATTCTCCTATTAACTCGCTACATCAATGTTCCGGCGAGGGTGATACAAAACGAAGTTGGGGCACTCTCACCTCTGTGAGGGTACAGAGTCGGCTCTTCAAATCTTCCATTACAATCCAGTCGTAAGACCGAGCAAGGTTGATGTCCCTATATGGGAAGCAGATCCTGTCGAGTAGGACGTACAGGAACTCTGTGATATAGTCTCCTCCCATATTGAGAAAAATCCTAGCCAACCTTGAGACCCACACGCCAGCCATGGAAGGGGAAGACTGACCTTGTTTCGGGTACAACCATACCTTCATCCACACACGCAATACTCACAGTCGTGGAGCCAATATCGACAACACAAGCACTAGATATCCCAGCACCATATGTCGCAGCCAGCGATTCCTAGCCAGCTCGTCAGGCGTCCCGTATTAAGGAAAATCAGAGAGTACCTGCTGGACACACAGTTGCTTGAACCCCATACGGACCAGCAACAGCTGGATCATGTCACGGACGTATGGCCGATCATAATAGTCAGGTATTACCAGCACCGCTGAGTAGTCCTTATGTATGCTTCAGTATATGCGCGCTTATAGCGTGAAGCAAAGGGGTACCTTGTACTCGCTACGACTAACACCAAATGAGTCCTGCAAGTTTGTCTCGAGTATAGTTTCGATATCGTCGACAATCATGGCAGTCGATGGATAGTCTCTCGTGTTGAATTTAGAACCCATAATTGGCCATCTCACAATATACCCCTGTTTTTCAGGATCTGCAAGCCGCAGCGCCTGCAAAACATGAGATACTTCTACCTTGGAACAGCCTGGTGCACCTTTTCGCCAACATAATAGGGTTCTGTCGCAATGTCGTATATCCAGTCTACGCGGAACGGATCGTTTTGCTCTGGGATGAGCTCGGGTTTTAGTTGCTCGTTGAACCCTGTAGCTTTGATGGCCGCATCTGGCGTCATGCGTAACTTGTAGAACCGCATTCGGTCGCGCAGCGACACCTGGATCACCTCTATTTTTTCATCAAACTATCCACGCAACACGCCACTTGCGTCAGAACGCGCCTCAGAAAGAACAAGCGGGGGTGTGCATGGGGAACACGCACTGGATCATCGGATGCTCGGGCTACCGCGTACTCATCGCCATTGAGCGGTGGTGGAGGTGGTCGCGTGCGACCGTTCCGCGGACGCGAGATTCCCTTGAAGAATGAGGGCTCTGGGGCGTTGATGGTCTTCCGTGCGATGACATTTGGTACAGTCAGAGGCGTAACGTCGGACGCGCGCCCCACGCGCAGATAACGTGAGCCGGGGTGAATGACGATGACATGGGAACCGCGGCGTCCCTGCGAAAGTCGCCGCATATATCAGTATATAAGGGATTAAGATATGTGGATCGTCGATCGACAAGGTGATGGAAGGGCGCACCTCTGGTAGGGGCTCGTCTGCTGCATTTTTGTTACGCGCCGTCTTCCGGGCCCATATTGTCTGGGACTCAGACTTTAGGTATGATGTACTCATATGCTTTGGGTTGAGCCTTCGAAAAGCACTTCAGTAGAACGTTTTTGCGCGCGGTGCTTGGTACGTACTGCGCTGGCACATGAAATGTAGTGTACCGCATCCCCTGAGACTCATCGCGCTTGACGTTGGGAATACCCCGCGGCATTTTTGAATGACGCTTTGCTATGTTTGCAGGCAGTTTGGCTATTTTTGAAAGGTTTTGGGGTGATGGCAGAAGTAGTCGTGGCGACGAGGTGGCAAGGGGGACAGGCGAACTGAACAAGCGTTCCCATTGTGGAATCGACGGCTTCAAGTTCAGTTCAACGGTGGCTGTGCTCAATGGACGTTCACTGGCAATACACCCTACACCAATCCTCATCCATTCGACTAAGTCCCATCACACCTCAGACTATACTAAACAATTATGCAGAAGAAAAATACAACTCAGGCCCGCAACCGCTCAAGGAAAGATTTCAATGGACTCGATAACCTGTGCTTGCGACCTCCCCCTTCGCCACCTGATGCTCGCCGAGCAGCATTCTCGTCAACTTGCGTATACCTTCTCATGCGCCGCTGGGTCCGCAGCCCGAGGGGAATGTTCTCCCTACCTTTATCGTGCTCTTTGGCGAGCAAAGAAAATGTCTTGGCCGCCAGTTGAGAATTGGAGAGTTTAACCTTGTCAGATGTCACTGGGCCAACGGGCAACGTAGGTGTGTTGGACACGGGTGAGTGTGAAGTTGCTGTTTGAATGGAGGGTAGCTGAACGGAACTGCGTCGACTTGCAGTTGAGATACGAGTGGCATCCTCTGGCACTGGGGTTGACTGTGATCGTTTCGATGGGATTGGTGTATTTATCTCTCCAGGCACAAAGTATGCGCGCAGAGGAGAAGGCTGCAGTGACGAGGGTGTCCCATTCTCTTTCGATATTTCCGCACGAGGCTGGCCTACTGACGGCGTATTGTCTTCGGAGTTATCTTTCTTAGGCATATCAGCGAAACGGACGCTCTTCACGTGTTTCAATATTCCTAGAGGGCGCTTGGCACTGGAAGAAGAGGAGCTCGGCAACGTATTGAGGGAGTCGCTCGCGCGCCCTAACCCAGATGACAGACCAGGGCTAGAAACCGGGCGGGGCACGTGTTTACGATTTCCAACGTTTGGAGTGGTCGTCCGCGAAGCTTTGCCTTGTATTGCGGTAGTTTGGCTGCTTTGAGGCTTTGTAAGGTCAGTCCGAGGAGCCGAACTCGACTTTGGTCGATTCTTCGGGGTAGATATCGCCAGTGGCACGGAAGCACGTCGCATTCTGCTACTTTGAATTACAGCCAGTGAGCTAGTCTCGGGTGTAAGAGACTTTCTTGTGGAAGCAGCCTGTCGTCGACTACGTTTTTCCTTATTCGGCGTCTTCAATTTAGTGAGACCACTGTAACGCGACATCAACTCATGCGCAAACGCCCAATCGTCTTCACTAATGCTTGGGACGATATCTGAAGACTCCGCGGGAGTTGAATTAGTCGGAGGTGGTAGTTTGTCTAACAGAGGAGCGCGGGCTTCTGCGTGAAATGAGGGCCTTAAGCCAGCAACCTGGGATCGTAATGTGTTGATCATGTCCCCGATTGCGAGAGACTCAGAGTTGGATCGAGCATTCAGCGAAGAAAACTGGTAATGAGGCGAGTATGCAGATGGCGTGCCGAGGAAGGCAGTAGGGATGTCTGGATACTCTTCATGCGTACGCTTGGGGGTGTGAAGAGTGAGCGGGGTAAGCATTGTCTTTCCCCGTCGAATAGCAATAGGCTCGGGCTTGGGTGTGGGTGTTTCAGGAGAACCAGGAACAGACACTGCGATAGTCGCGGTCGAAGTAGATACCTTGATAGAAGGCAAAGGAGGAGGCGGGGCTTCGTTCCAAGCGTCTGACTGGACGGGGTCAGTTCCAATAGTAGCATTGAGGCGCTGAAACTCGAGTTGACGATTCAAAAACTCAGTATTAAGGTGACTCGGTGGAACATTAATAGACCAGCGGCGTGGTTTCATGTGGACAGGGACGGATGGGACCGTAGCTGTGGTGTGCGTGGGCGTGGTATCTGCTATGCAGGTAGGATAGGCACTGTTTGAGGCGCGGCGACGAATTGAACGAGAACGAGATGACGATTTAGGATGCTTGCTGTATCCCGAGGTAGAAAGTAGAGAAGAATCGTCAAAAGTAGATTGTATAGTCTTGCCAGGAGGACTGTGGCGCTCACGGAGACAGCGCTTAAGGTACGACGGAGGAAAACAGGACCCCTCAGGCACCCAGACATAGTGAGGGTTTTCACGAGGAGGAGACCAAGGTGCCATGTCAGGAGGGCTTGAGCTAGGAACGGCAGACTACAGGATTGATTCAGATCAGCGCGGTACGTTGTACGACAGACCAAAGCTCACGATCCAAGTCTTGAGCGCTGGCTTGAGCTGTGGGACATTCTTAAGGACGCCCCGGAGTTGGAGATGAAACAAGTACGTTGGCATACTTTCGGTTAGGGCGATTTCCCTTTGGCAAAGCAAGAGAGGCCACTAGCGACAGGAAGGTACTCTGGGTCCTCCGATTCCGATCGAGGACTGGTCGAGGGGCACGGTGGGGGCTTGGCGGGTTCATGATCCCAGAGAGGCAAGGTGTCAAGACTGCGAGAGGGCAGAAGCAAAGAGGGATAGATATCAAGAGGTATGTCGTTGATGTCGAGAGAAACCGCTGAGGTTCTCGAAGATATATTACTGGAAGGAGCAAAGAAGAGTGAATCGTCCGAACTATCCAACCAGAAAGCGGCCGACATCCTCAGTAACCCACTGGCAAAGTCGCAGTTTCTCAGAGCATGAGCGGAGGACAAAAGAGGTCTCAGATTTGTGTTCCAGTTCCCTAAGTTTGTAGGAATCCTTTGAAGTCGGTCGGTGTGAGGCTGACACAAACAATAGCCAATCGCCTTGTAGATGTTACGAGTCCTATCTAAAAATGGTCGAACACACCCAATACTCTTAGGAAACCGCTTCTATATGGGTCATTAATGAAAGCGCCTTTATTGGCCTGGTGGTCTAGTAGTATGATTCCTTCTTAGGGCTCTCAGTCATTTGGAGGAGGTCCCGGGTTCAATTCCCGGCCAGGCCCTTAAATTTTGTTTTTGCGTGTATTTGGGCCGCCTGGGACGTTGCACACTCCGTTCGCGACGTAGATGAACCAGCATCTTGATATTATCGACATGATCAATCATTTGCGTGTCACCTCACCTTCCAGTCTGATTAATTTTTTTTCTACTGATCATTCTTTCTATATTTGACCTTGTATGTCTTCCAATCCGCATAGGAACTCCCTCAAGGTGAAGCATCGTGGCAAGATTGCGATTAAGAAATGAAAAACGATTAAGGAAACTACAGGAAAGGAAGATGGCATGTGGGCGTCCTTAGCCGTCAGTCATTACAGTTCATCATTAACGTTGGAATCCCGAATACCCTCCAGGGAAGCCAGGGAAGCCCCACCCAGTCGGCTGTGCGCTCAGTGGTGACGGTGACGCTACGAAGGCAAACGGTGATCAGCACAAACGAAACGGCCACGGGACCGAAGGGAAGGACTCACGGTCTACGCGCAGGGCGGCGTATTTATCTGACGAGGACGAGGGGCGAATAATTAGGATGCTCGAGCCCGATCGACAGCACGCAGAAATGCCTCACCCGCAGACTGCGGCGCCGAATCATTCGCGAACGTCCCGCCTTCATCGCCGCGAACACGTTCGCCGGGTTCGTGTCCTTCGGCGCGGATCCTCCTGGAAGCGGCGGCGCGGCGCTGCCGTAGGACGGTTGCCCGAACCCTGGATTGAATCCGGTGGGCTCTGCAGATTGGAAAAAAGAATGGGTCAGTAACCACATGGCAGTATATGGACGACGAGAGGAACTGACGAGGCTGTAGCTGGCCGAACGACCCATTCTGGAATGACGCAGGGAGCGGCGGCACCGGCGGCACGCCGCCCAGCTGCCCCGCCCCAAACGGCGACCCTGCACCGAAACCTGTAGGCTGCAGCGCCAGCGATGGCTGGAAACCCGTCGGCTGTGGGGCAAGATTGGGCTGGAAACCTGTCTGTTGCGGGGCAAGGTTTGACTGGAAACCCGTCGGCTGAGGGGCAAGGGAGGGCTGGAAGCCTGTCGACTGTGGCGCGAGTGACGGCTGAAAACCTGTCGGCTGTGTACCCAGGAACGATGGTGAGGTCGCAGGGCGCGTGGGCACGAAACCTGTAAAACCCGTCGTGGTTGGTACGAGAGGCGCGAGAAGGCCCTGATTCGCAGGTACCGGCGCGAACGGTCCACGCGCGCCGGATGAGGAAAGTAACCCGGTCGATTGTCCCTGCAGCGGCAGCGATAGGGTAGGGTGCGGCCCAAGCGGCGGAGCGTGCGACGCGCCCAGCCCAGGATTGTAACCTGACATCGCCGACATCGCCGGGGGAGACGCTATCCCTGGCGAGGGTGCAGGAGGCGCAGATTTCGGGGCCGCAGCAGCAGGAGTTTGTACGCGCAGCTGGCTGAGCCGCGCAAGTTGATCGAAAATGTCCGCATCGGTCTTCGCCAGCCCGCCACCTGTGCTAGTGCTGGAAGGCACCAGTTGGCTCGCCGGAGCGGATGGCGCACGAGGGGGTTGCGGTGGTGTTGGAGCTGGAGCTGAGCCAAATGCGCCGGGAAGGGGGGGCACGGACGGCACGCGGTCTGGGATAGGTGGTGTCGGCGCAACGGGTTTGGTCGAGCTCGGCCGATTCGTCCACGCGTCGTCATCGAAGCCCGATGCCGCCGCCGAGTTCGACCTTGATGGGGGTACCTGCGAAGGCGAGGCTGCGAGGGCTGGGGTGCTCGTTGGGCTTGTCACCAGCGGCGTCGTCGTGCGTGCTATCTGTTCGGAAGCAGTCGAGATGGCAGTGAGATCCACTGCGCCGGGAGCGGTGCTACTTGTCTTGCCTGGCGTCGGGCGTCCTCTCCGCGCATTCTTGAGCTGCCCACCTGGGCCGGTGAATAGGTTTGGGGGGCCGGGGCTGGGCGTGGCCCGCGCTGGACCCCCCGCTTCATCGCCGCCGAGGAGGTTCGTCTCTGAGGATGCTGCTTTTGCGGGCGGCTTTGGACGGCGCGCCTCGATAACCTTGGCAACACGGATTATGTCACCTTCGCGCAGCCCAAGAGTGCGCAGGGTACCCTCGGTGATATCGGGTAAAATCGCCTCGTCGATTTTGTCTCGCTCAAAGGAGGAGGCGTAGCGAGTACAATCATCCACATCGCAGCCTGCGTTCAAGAAGAACTCGAACCAGTCTACGGGTGGGGCCTTCTTCGCGGGCGCAGGCACTGCCTGGAGAGACTGGCGGCGCTTCGCCAGAGGCTCGTCGTCGTCGTCACCACTCTTGCGTGAAACAGAGCCTCCACGACCATTGATCTTCTCAACGTAGCGCATGTCCTCGGCCGACATCTTCTCTGACGGCACTTCGATGACAACACCATTCACCTTGTGCAGACGGAGCACCCCGTTCTTGTACCCAAGGAATGCGGCCTCGACGCGGAACTGTCCAGTGCGATCGCGCCACTCTCGTGTCTGGCTTGGATCGGGAGGAGCGCCTAATCAAGAACGAATGAAGAAGAGAACACGCGCGGGACGGTGGCACCTACGTTTCTCGACGGATTTGCGTGCCTCGGGCTTAGGCGAACGGACAGTTCTTGGGGCAGACTTCGCCTCTCTTTTGTCGTCCGCAACGCGCCGCGCTTCTTCCGCAGCCTCTTCGTCTTCGCGTTCCTTCTCTCGCTTTGCGTGTTCTTCACGCTCACGCTCACGTTCCTCGCGCTCGCGCCTCTCCTTCTCCTTCTCCTTCTCCTTGCGTTTGCGCTCGGCCTCGGCGGCGGCGGCTTTTGCGCGCTGCTCTTGGGCTTGCCTTTCCTTGTGCTCGCGCGCTTCTTTCGCTTCTTGCTCTGCTCGCTCTGCTTCAGCGCGCTCCTCAGCCTCACGTTCAGCTGCGCCATCGTCTTCATCACCTTCTGGTTCTGCGGATCGAACAGGCAAGCGACCTGCGCCTGTGGGCTACAAGACACACTCAGTCAAGGACGAGAGACAAGAACCGATGAGAACCCAAGGGGTCACGACACGCACCTCGATATATGACGCCGGCACGACACCCTCGTCACCCTTTATGTTTCGACACTTCCACCATTCATCGCCCTCTTGCTCGATGATCCACAGAGCATCGCCCTCCGCTACGGTCAACTCGTCATCCCCTTGTGCCTGAAAGTCATACAAAGCGGCAGCTTCTAGACCCTCCGCCTCCTCATGTTCGGGTTCCGGGGGAGATGGAGCGCGGGGGGGAATGATGGCGGGGCTTGCTTCTGAAAAGTGGACGCCCTTCTTACCCGGACTGTTGGAGCCGTTGCTGAGCAGAGGCGGAGGAAGCGTGCGTTGCACAGGAGCCTGGGCAGGCTCAGGCTCTGGATCTGCCTGATGCGTGGTTGCGGCCGCCGATACTGCAGGAGCTTCGATGCTCTCGTGAGCAAGGCTGCGCGAAGATTCGAGTTTAGCGAGGATCTCTTCGGCGGTGTCCTTGTTTCCTGCATGAAAGTGCAAGCTGGCAGCCGCGGAGCCACCAACCTCGATAAGTATATGTTTTGACTTGTCGATATCGGCAGATGTGATGTCGCCAATTTGCCACTTTTGCACAGGCGTCTAACGTCAGGGGGAGCCTGAGTCAATAACGTAGCACACGACAAACAGACAGCACCTATTCGAAAACATGCCTTGTCAGCTTCGCTAGCAAAGAATATGGCACCGTTGCCGACACCGAGCGTGCCCTTCTTCTTCTTTCCTTTTTTGTCGATCTCTGAGACTGACCAGGTCTTGATGGCATCTGCCTTGACCTTAGAGGCAGTAGAGCGGACGAGTTCGGCGGGATCGACATATGTGCTGACAGGACGCGCACGGCGGGGAGGTGAATCGGGGACGACGATGTGGGGTGTCGCGGAAGAGACGGCCGCTGTGGAACTGGTGTCATCCACGGCCTAGTTGAACCAACGCTCATGGTCAACGTCAGTCAGGGGAGAATGAAAGGGACTGACCTCGATATAATTTCCGGGAACGTACCCGACCTTGCCGTCATCCTTATCCTGGACGAGTAACCAACCGTCCTCCTCAGGGCCAAACACCAACAATAATTGATCCTCTTTCACGGATAGCTCTCCTTCAGCTACAGCAACGTAGTCGTATTGTGCTTTCACAATGGAGGAATGTTCAGCCTGGCATGGTAATGAGGGGGAGCGTGGGCGCAGAGTTGAAAGTCAGCGGGACATGCAAGGAGGCACAATAAAATCCTTCTGCGTGCGGAGGCGCACTTCCGAGAACGAATGTCGCGGTCCGACGAGGACTCACCGATTCCACATAAGCGGATGGAACAAGTCCACTCTGATCATCCCCTTTTACTTTTACTTTCCACCAACTTACGGATGGTCAGCGACACTTCAAGCGAGACTTGGAGGGACGCACTCGTCGTCAGTTTTCTCGACGAGCAGGAGTAGTTGGTCCTCCTTGATTTCGATCTCGTCTCCAGACTGGGGCACGTAGTCATAGGATGCTTTGAGGACTGCAAGATATTGTTCGTCACTCATGGGTTATCAAGTGTAAAAGGGAATTAGAGTCGTTAGCAGCGATCGCCTCAGAATCCCTCGCTCGGGCAACAGTGGCTTGGTCTTATGTAATAAGGCGTCTATCATGGTCAATATTTATCTCCACTTTCCCTCCTCACTATTCCCAACAGTGATGCAGAGAGGCTTTCTATTCACCCGTTCGAATGGATATTTGTGGGTGATCTTTGTGGACTACGCAGGTTTGAATGAAACACTCACGTCAACTGATTCAACGCCGTGCCGCCACAATCTCAGAGATGATGTCGTAAAACGAGATGGAGAGTCCTACATCATTACAAGACAATCTGCAGATATTTGCGATGCCGCCCACATAATCCCCAGATCCAAATCCGATCAGGTAGTCTTCGCAATCATTGTATGTAATACTTTGATGACCGTCTGTTATTGTACATCCTAAGGGATGTTGAAGATCGTTTGGCCCTTTATGACCAATTTCTGGGGTCAATGATATTCAGAATG